AAACCTAACTATATATTTTTATATTCCTATTATGTGCTCTTAAATGAGCATTTTTATGGGCTAATAATAATAATAATAAAAATTATTTCAATTACAACAATTAAATAAAGACTGAGATAGATATAGACTTAACCCTAAAAGAAACGGACACAAACTTACAACAAAATTAACTAACAATAAGATTTTTTTTTACTATTATTCTTTTCCTGATTAAATATAAAAGAATGATATTTATGACCTGAGAAGATAATTCTATCCACTTGCCAACATCATCATACATATTTAAAAAAAAAAAAAAAAATTTGCATCAATATCATGCTTCCTATACAAGAAATAATGTGAATTTGTTTTCAAATACGTTGGACTAATAATGTCCTTATACTCCAACCAATCACCATGAGCTTTAGCTACAAGAGGATTATGGGAAGAATTTGAAGAAATAATACTATCATCAACAAATGGGATAATAGCTTGAACATTTCCCTACTACTTAGGGCGTTTGGTTGGAGGGGGATTATGTGGGAAAAGAATTCTAATTCCATGGGAGTCGAATTACTGGGAATAAAGTGGGAATTTAAATTCCAGTGTTTGGTTGACAGGAATAGAATTACTGAGAATTTCAATTTCAATGTTTGGTACATATGGGAATTGAAAGGGAATAAGTAGTATAAAGTCAAAAATGTTCATTATTGTTGTTAGACATTAATTTTAGGTTAAAAAAAGAAGGGATAATTTTGACTCATCACTATCTTTTTTTCCCAGGAATTAAAATCTCAGGGGGGGACATGGGATTTTAATTCCATGAAAATGGGGGAATTGCAATTCCCTCCAACCAAACTACGACATTTAATGGCCTTTGGAATTAGGTGGAAATTAAGTGGGAAGGGAATTTAAAATCCCTCCAACCAAACGCCCTGAGGGTGTGTTTGGTTTATACATGGGAATCACAATCGCAATGGGTATCAAATACTTGATAATGGTAATGGGTTTTGGTGATAGTGTATTTAATATGTTTGGTAGTAGGGTGAAATAATAATGGTTACTAATATTAGTGCTTGAGAATGAACAAGGGAATGAAACTCTTATTTTATTTGGATATGTGTTTTTCAATTGATGGGGTATTCGAAACCCAAATGTTCTAAAAACTTATCAACCAAACAATAACAATTATTTCCATACCCATTCCTATGGACAAAATCCATCAACTAAACACACCCTAGATGTGTCACAATCCAATTGGAGTCACCATCCTTCCGAACTAGACTGTGAGAGAATTATAAGTCTAAACAAAATTAATTAACTTCTGAGATTTAAAAATATAAGAAATACTCTCATGAACAACAACTATACGGATTACGAAGAAGAAAGGAAAATTCAAGTTGTATGTCACACACTTAGCTTTTATTAAAATCGATTTGCTACATTTCAAGGATGTTAAAAGCATTATAGTGTTAGTCTCTCGAGATAAAATTAATTTACAATAATATAATTAAACACTCAAGTTATATGACTATCGACGAACTAGAACAACATGTTAAACATTTATGGGGTGTTTGGTTCAAGTTATATAAGATAACTAAGATTATATTTGCTTGGGAATATAGCATTCCTAGTAATTTAACATATAATTTTTCACCAGGATTATGTGGTCCAATGGTACCTGGGTTGGACTTCCATTTGGAAGATTACGAGTTCGAGCCTCAGTGGAGGCGTTATTGGTTCTTTGTGTTTCAGTAGATTGAGAAAGTATATGAACAGATACTACAATGTAATAGAGTCAGTAACTTTCAAAAAAAAAAAACATATAATTTTTCTTTAAGAATGTCTAAAGAAAGTATATACAATATACATAAAATAAATTATTTAACATAACTGGTAAAAATAAAATAAAATACATACATACGTGTCAAATTACATATGTTTTTAAATACCTATGGTTAATATTGTTATTTTGTGGTTTAAAAAAATGAGTTTTAATATATATAATATATTCACCATATGTATCAAATGGCTATTAATTTTAAACATAATACATTAATTAATGGGAATATTGCATCTTTGGTCCCTGAGTTATACTCAAGTTCTGACTCAGTCCCTAAGTAATGACCGTATCCATTTTTAGTCCCCTAGTTATGAACGAAGTGGCGCATTTGGTCCATGACCGTTAAAACTGACGGAAAAATAAAAAAAATATTTAAAATTTGAGGGTTAAAGTAGAAAATTCACATTTTATTCTCCTTCTTATATCAAAACCATTTTTACAACATTATTTTTCACTTCTTAGCCTCTTATTTCAAGATTGTTCAATTCTAAAAGTATTTCAATAACTTTAGTATGACTTGTTAGGAACCTGACTCTCGTATAACAAACTTAAGACTTATCACAAACAAAGAAACACTTAATCATTGTCTTCAGACGTGTGAAAAACACTATCCTATCAATTTTAAATTTTCTCTACTAAGCAACAAAGGTAATTAAACTAGAACTTTTGAGATATAAAATAATGTCAAATTTCTCAGGTTGCTTTTATGAGAAATTCAGAAACCAGATTTTTAGTATGTAAAATATTTTCATATGCAACAGTCAATAATCATTTTTAGAAGTTACAAAAGTTTTTAGAATTTTCATAACTGAGTCTTAGCTTCCTCATTCATTACACTGATTTTTAAGAATACAGAGAAGGTGATGGGTATACATAAAATATAATTTTCATATATTTTCAGGATATATGATTATTGATTAAGTTACTGCAGAGCTTACGAAAGAATTTTACGTACTACAAATCTCAAGTTCTTCCCTTGGTGAATTTGTCATAAATATAACTGAGAAATTTGATATCCTCTTGTATTTCAAAAGTTATGGTTTGATTATCATTATGTTTAGTAAGGAAAATCAGAAACTTTTAGGATGATGTGTTTTATATGCTTGAAAACAATGATCAAATGTTCTCTTGTTTGTACCGAGCCACATGTTCCTTATACGAGACTCAGGTTACTAACAAGTCATACAAAAATTATTGAATTGACTTTTGAATTGAAGAACCTTAAAATAAAATGCTAGGAAGTTGAGAATAATGTTGCAAAAGTGATTTCAATATAAGAAAGTGAATAAAATGTGAATTTCATACTTTACCCCTAAAATATTAAATATTTTTTAATTTTTCTGTCAGTTTTAACGACCAGGGACCAAATGCGCCACTTTGCTCATAACTGTGGGACTAAAAATGGATACGGCCATAACTCAGGGACAAAGTCGTCACTACCATTATAACTCAGGGACCAAACTCGCCATTTTCTCTCAACTAATTATAATCTACTATACTAATAAGAGCCCAAGAGAGTTAGGCCTATAATGGGTAGAAAAAAAAAGCGGTCAAATTTTTTAATCAAATGAATGGCTCAGATTGATCAGATTTTAATTTTTCCATAAGATTTCCTAATATATCTTTAATGAATATGATTTTCCGTTAACTTTTCCGTTAAATATTATTTTTTCCGTTAATTTCTGTTAGTTCACTGTTAACTTACTCATTGATTTCAATAAGAAAGGTCTTAAGTTTGAACCTCATCCCAATCAAAGTTGACATAATTAGTACTCTATTTTACTCTTATTAAATTAAATAATAATTTAGTAGCTACAACAAAAAATAATACATATGCATTTCTTTAATTTAGAATTATGTGTCTACAATGTCTTTATTAAAAAAAATTATTCATTATCAATAAATTAAATAAGAGAAATAATTTCATTAGCTATATTGTCTTTATTTTTCTCCAATATAAAAATTCTTTAAATTCAAATTCATCAATTGATTATATCCGCTACATTGTCCATACAATGTCTTTATTAAAAAAAAAATATTATTCATTAACAATAAATTAATTAAGAGAAATAATTTTATTAGTTATATTGTCTTTATTTCTCTCCAATGTAAAAATTCTTTACATTCAAATTCATCAATTGTCTATTATCTTTTTTGTGCAATATTTTTTTTATTAAATATCAAAGTTATAATACAAAACAATGTTATATATTTATTTACCAAGTATTTTATTAATACCACGAAAAAATTAAAAAAATATAATTAATAAAGCCAAAATATTCAAATCACACAACAAATTGAAGTGAGAAATACCTCGTAATGTCCTTGTTTAACAATCAGCCGTTAGCGAATATGACCAGCGAATTATATCAACAGTTGGTAAAAAGTATTTAAAAAAAGTATGTAGTTGTTTAGATTAACATGTAAAATGACCTAAGTGTATAATAATAATAATAATAAATGAAAAAATTATAATTAAGTCAATCATATTAACTACTTGGGGATCTATTAATAAAAAGAGTATTCAAATCACACAGCAAATTGAAGTGGGAAACTACATCGCAATGTCCTTGTTTGACAATCAACAGTTAGCTCTTCAATATTAGTATATATTTAATATTTTATGCCCTAATTTTTATTTGTTCTCCCTTATATCCCGTATTTGGTTTCAACCGTACCTATACAATTATTTTATTGACAATTATAATCCATTTTATTAATTGACTATATTATCTTGCATTTGTAAACTTAGAATTACCTTTTTAAATACGCAAATTCAACATTCAATTAGTTATGCATGAACAAATTCAATATAATATTGCCCTTGATATACTTTAAAGTGCTTATTTAAAAAAAAACATTGGGCATTATCCCAATCGCGCAATGCGCGTAAAAAACTAGTAAATGTTATAAGATTTAATATATATAACCAATTTTGTTTGCGTGAATGATCGTGCACTTATCTTTTAAAAGAGGTTGGGAGCTCAACAATTGATTGATTGAATGATACGTACTTAAATGTGTCTTTAGAATTTGTTCAGAATACATCGTGCCCTAACAAAAAAAATAAATCTATATCTATATTATCGAAATATAGCCAACGATTTACAAAATCAAATCAAATGTTGAAATAGTTCCATTTTGTAATATTATTGTGTGACATTTGTTTATTACTTTTCTAGTTTTCTCGTTTCCGTTTCGGTTTCTGCGAACTAAAGTGTCGTCAATATGTTTATGTCTGCCCTGTATCATTAGATTTTCTCTTCTCATCGATTCTGCGAATTGGGCCAACCGGTACTTCTCTCTTTCCCTTCTTGCTTCTTGTTTTGCACTCTCATTCATATTTTGGCTTCTCAGCCTAGGGCTTCAATTTCTTGCATTCCGTCTTCTTGGTGGTTAGCTTCCTTATTTTATTTTCTTTTACAGTATTTGGTTGTAAATTTCTGCTCAGATTTCTGTTTCGGTGCCCAATTTTGAACTGATAGTGTATTTCTGTGTAAATTCCTTTTCAAATTTGCTACCTTTTGGGGTTTGGGTTAGTCAATTGCTTTGTGCAAAAGCTAGTTAAATCCGAATTTAAAGCTTTGGGTTGCAGTGCTCGCTTTGTGCTGTCCACTGTAATTTTCCTTCTTCCTTCTGTTTGTACGAAAACCTGGATTTCGCGAAACGGTTGATAAGATTGATAGCGTTTTTAGGAAAAGAAAGTGGCTCCTCGAACTAGTAGAGAATTCCAGGATGTTGTTCAATGTGGAATTTTAAGGTTTAATTCCAATCAAAAAGTTTCTCTTGTCATTCGTCCTGTTGAGTTATATTCCTTTTTTTTTTTTTTTTGCTTATTCTTAATCTTGGATTTTCACATGCTGCTGCTTTATTCATGGTGTAAATATTGTTGGCCATATGGAGCATTTGGCAACTTTTTCTGCACATCTATGAATCTTCTTGTTTTCTTTGTTGGAATTTAGTCCATCAAAAGTCTTTGCTATGATGAAAGTTTTATTGAGGTATTCTGTTGCCTTTATTAAACTTATTGTGCACTAGGGTAAGTTTTGATATAAATTTATATCATAGGTTTGGATGCAACTAGAACTTGGTTATGTATCTTTGTTTAAACAATAGAGACCAAAGTCGAGTAGGTGGAAAAAATTGAGTAATTGAGTGATGCCAGGAGCACACGGGTCGCCACTTTTTAAAATAGAGAATCTGCTTCTTGAAATGGGCACCCAATGCTGTCAGGACTTACCTCAGATTTCAAATTCACATGCTGTCTTATTCTAGTTATTGTAGCTTTGCTTGCTCTATTACTTCATGAAAGTTTTGTCAAAATATTATAACCTTGTTTTAGAAAAAATGTTTGGCTAGGGATCTGGATTTGTTGCTTGCTCAACTCATAGTGTCTTTGCATTGTTTCATTCCATAACATATGAGCCATATTTTTAATTATGGAAGTGTCATTTTGGTTTCTATGGTTTTGATGATTTGCAGGTTGTAATATTTGGTTGGTCATATCATCATATGTTGTCAGGTGATCAAGGGTTCTAGACTGCAAGAATATGAGTGGTAACCTTAATAAAAGGCCACATGAAGAGGGTGGTGATGGTAGCGGTAGTGGCAATCATGGACATTCCTCTGCTCCAAAATACATACATGATGATTCCAATTCATATGCTAAAGTTATGAGTTCAGCGACACATGAGTACCATTCCTCTTATGATGCTGGACAGGATGTGAGGATGCCAAAGATCCCTCGAACTGAATCACGGGATGTGGATAGAAGATCACCTTTGCTTCCAACTTTTCGAGGGTCATTAAATGATTTGCATTCTGATCATACAGTTGGTTTGGAAGCCAGGTTGGAGGCTAGGGAGGGTAAAGACAGTATAAGGGATGTTAAAGCTGAGAATCGCGAAGCCAAGGCTGAATCAAGAGAGCTGTACCAAGGAGGTAAAGGTGATAAAGATGCGAGGACTGATAGCAGGGTTGATGATAGTAAGGAAACCAAACACGAGAGGGATAGCTATTCAGAATACAAGGTTAATATGAAGTCAGATAAAGATAGTTTTTCTGGAGTAAGTAATCACTTAAATTGGAAAGATTCAAAAGAACAGAACCGGGGGAAAAGATATCCTGATGTCTCAGGTGGGAATATGGATCCATGGCATGCTTCAAGAACCAATGTGCATGTATCTGCTGAAGTTCCAAAGGAAAGTGTAAATGTTGAGAACAGGGATTATGTTGAAGCATGTGAGGCTGTTGGTGAAAATAGGGTTGATCTCAAAGGGGATGATAAATTCAAAGGTAAAGATAGGAAAAGAAAAGAAGGAAAACACTGGGAATGGGGAGGGGATAAAGAAAGAAATGATGGTAAGAGTAATGTGCAAGTAGCAAATAGCAGTATTGAGAACAAAGACACATTGAAGGAAGATAGAGAAACCGAGAGGTGGGAGAGGGAAAGAAAAGATCTGTCAAAAGATAAGGACAAACCAAAAGACAGGGAAAAGGATCATTTGAAGAGGGAAATCTGGAAAACTGAGAGAGAAAGTTCACATAATGAAAAAGAACTGATGGATGCTCCAGGTAGGACACTGGAGCAAGAAACTGAAAAGAAGAAACAAAAAGATCATGACAACTGGAAAAGTGGTGAAAGGGAGAGCAGAGACAAAAGGAAGGAAAGAGATCAAGATGTCGAAGGAGAGAGAAATGAGAAATGTAACAAGTATAATGATAATGACTTGGAAGAAGTAGGTATGTCTGCCGATGGGGGTGGTGACAGGGACAGAGAAGGTTTTAATTATGGAGTTCAACAGCGGAAGAGAATGCTTCGTCCCAGAGGCAGCCCTCAAATGGGAAACCGTGATCCTCGTTTTAGATCTCGTGTCCATGACAATGAAGGGTATGTTTACCCTGATTTTTGCATTTCACTTAACATTGCCATCAAGAAATTGTATGCACTTCATTTTCCTTTACTGTTTATATCTACATGGTTTTCCTGTAGTAAAATTTTGACCAAGGCCCCCCTTGTCCTTCTCCCCAAAATGAAAAGGAAAATCATGAAAAGTAAATGCTGTTTATCTGTGATGGTTCTGTATTGCGAAGTCTTTTTTTGGTTAAGACTTCAAGATGTAATTAAATTTGTTTGCATTTCTTGATGAAGCAAAATGTTTAACTAAGGGCAATATGTTAAATTGCTAACAATTCAAAAGTTTGTTTCTATATGACACAAGATTCATAGAAGGTCTGGAACCAATTTGTACTTTCTCATAATGTCTATTATCTTTTTTGAATTTTTTTTTCCCTCTTTCTTTTGGGTGAGTTGGGTGGAGCAAATGCCTTCTTGAGGACTGTTTTTTCCTGCATCATGTACACTGTTATGTATTGCTGCTCAGAAGCACTAACAATCTCATTCTGCCAGATTTCTCTCAAGGAAATTTTGGATGTGCTTTTGTGCAAAACATAATTTTGGATGTGCCTTTGTGCAAAACGTTCTCTAGCCAAGGAGAGAATTTCAAACCCTATTTTCTTTAAACTTGGTTATGTAGCTCCCCATCCGCTGCTACCCCACCCCACCATTTTTTTTTTCCTTAACACACTGAAGATGGCAAGTCATCCAATGCTAACTTCTTTTCTCTGTTCTCTGTTGAAGTACATCTACCAATGCATTTGTAGTAGATGTTGAAATTTTTGATGAAGTTATTAGGTTATCTACACTTTGTGCTTATATGAAAAACTTTTCATCAGCAATAGAAAAATGCCAAAATCTCTTAAATATGAGAATATAATCTAGTTTCAGTACATGTTATTAAAGCTTTGATTTTGCACTTTTTTTACAATTTAGTTTGTGGATATAATGTCATTTCATATTCTTGAGATGGTATTTTAATGTGCATGAATGCTCTCTTAATTTTTTGCAGATCTCAAGGAGGTAAGCTGTTTGATGGATCTTTCCACAAAGGGAACTTAAAATTGTCTTTATTGAAAGGGAGTCATTTTTGGCTTGTGCATAATTTATTCTGATCAACCAAGACACATTTCTTTAGTTTGCACTTTGCATGATGATATGCTTCTATTATGCTTTTTTTTTTTTTTTTTTTTTTTTTTTTTATATCCCGAGATGGTCGTGTTTTCTTTATGATACAGAATGTTCCAACTAATGTAAATATAATAATTTTATCAAGGTATTTCTTAGTGTACACCATATCACATTAAAATGAACAAGTGGGTATTAAATAATTTCTCTTGTTTTAAATTTACCAGATAAAACAACACTTTGTCAAAAGAGCACAACATATAGTTTATTGTGTTTCCTTCTTTCTTTGTGTTTTTGGCATGACAACTGTCTAGCCCTTAGACTTCCACATTTTAGACATGATCTATATGTTCAGCACCTATCACTTTCCAACACTCCCCCTCAAGCTTATGAATGAGTGCTGTCCACTCCAAGTTTGTCGACTAGAATTTGTGAAGTTTTGCTGGACATGCCCTTTGTGAGAATGTCTGCTAGTTGATTCTTGGTGTGGATAGATAGAGTATAATTTGAGCTTTATGGGATATATACCTCAGCCCATTATGGATGGCCTAGCCACCTAGCATGATTGGCTCATGAGATCTACCTCCTAGAAGATTAAGTTCCTGAGATCTATTGCCTAAGAGATCAAGTTCATGAGATCTATCGCTGTGGAGCTCCACTTTTTGGGTCAAGCTGAACAGCCCAACTATCGTCAAGTAGCCTCCATCAGTTCTGGCTCGTCTGGCTCTATGATGTGCCATCATTTCCTTTAATGGATTATTTGCCATGCCAGCCTATGTGCTGCAAGGTCAACTACTTAACTTGATGTACCACTTGCCACACCGCCTTGTCTAGCTAATAACCTCCAACCAGATTAGCTTGTCAGAGCAAGTCTATAAATTAAAGGCCTCAAGGCATTAGAAGTAACTTTCACCCATATTATGTAGATAAGAGCAGGTCGACCTCCACTACTTAATCTCTCCACTTGTAGTTAGACCATATGCACATTTACAACTTTGCAATCATAGTGGACTTTGGCTTGGCCCAACCCAACCCAACCCATAAGGCCAGTTGGTTTTCCCTTTTGGATTTCCACGTAAAGCATTGTGTCCCATTATTCTATTTTCCTATTTAATACATTTTGTGTAGGTTGATCCAAGTCAATTTATACCTTTAGATCCATTATCAAGTTTCTCCTTTATAAAATTCCTATCATCAACCTCTACATGCTTTGTGTGATCGTGTTGCATCAGGTTGTTTGGAATGTTGATAGCCTATTTGTTATCGCAATATAATCTCATTCTCATTTGGGCTTTAGGCCTTCCAATCTTCAGATGTTCTAAAATTATCTTCAACCATAGGAGCTCATAAATCTGAAGTGCCATTGACCTGATTTTTTTCTGTGCTTGATCTTAACATTATGTTTCTTACTCCATGTAATGAGGTTTCCTTTCAAAAATGTACAATCGCCAATTATTGATCTTCATCCATTGACCCTGTATAATCTGTATCAGTATCAATATAGGCTTCAAGACTCAATCTCCCTCCTTATCTAAACAAGACTCTTTTACCATGTGAACCCTTTTTAAGTATTGTAGGATTCTATGCATTTCCCTAAGATGTATATCTTTAGGGTATGCATAAAGTGGCTTACCACGCTAATAGTGTAGGTTCTGTTTAGCCTAGTGTGTGATAAGTAAATTAGTTTCCCAACAAGCCTTTTATTATTACCTTCATCAACTCTAACATCTTCTAGAACATCCCCAATGTCTGATTATCTCTATGGTTGTATTGACTGGTTTGCATCCCAATTCCCAAGAGAGAGCTTTAAGTTCTGATGCCATGTAAAGAAAAGATGTATATTGAATGAATGAATGAATGAATTTTTTCTAATAGTAAATGATGGTATAGGCACTTATATATACGCAAGAATAATGTCTCATGATCTGACTCCTAGGTTGATATACTTTAGATTGATGCATTCTAGGTTGGATGGTAACTGACCAACCCTTAGACTACCACATTACACATGTTCAACCTGTGACTCTTAGAGAATATCAACACCTAACACTTTCCAACAGTATATTACGTACATAGATTTTTAGTAATCTGCCCTGGAAAAAAACCAAAAAAAGAATACTTTTAGTGGAAGTCGTATCTTATTTAAATCTTGTTATCTAATGCTAGAAAATGGGACATCTTATGACTAAATTACAGGAAATTGAATTTGAATGTTACTGTATGTCTGGCTTTCATATGAATTGAGCCCATAGAACAAGTATTGAAAAAGGAAAATGAAAAAGCAACATAACTAAAAGGTCCCTCTTAGGCACAAAATCTTTCCTCCTTCAATTTAATTAGATTGATGCCAGAAAATGGATAGAGTAAGAAAATGAAGATGAATTAGAATCATTACATAGCTTGCTGACAATGGCATATGGGCATTTCATTTTAGCTACAATCATGTGCTAAACCATGAGAAGTTAATAAATTTTGTTTGATGATGATTACTAGTGGGAAGCCTAAGAATCATAAGATATTGCAAGTTGTGTCTTCGTTTATCTTCGCATTCACAAAATCTGTTTTACTCTTCTTACATTAAATGTCTTTCCAAGTATAGTTGTCAATATTAAATAGTTCTGAAATTAAGAAGTAAAGAATAAATGCTCTTTGTCGTTTTCCGTGTTTCTTTTTACAAATATTGCTTGAATCTGTGCTCTGTAACGTATGTAACGTTTTTGTAAAATATATATATCACATAGAAAACTAGTAAATCCAAACTGATAGAGAAGATTGAACCAGAATCAACAACAAAGATCGGTGCTGTAAGGTCAAACTGAAACCCTCTTAAACATAGGAAGTCTCTATGTGTCTTTGATTTGTCATTTCCAGCATTTTGCATTTTCCTCCATGTGGTTTCTCCTTGCTGATCTCTCTCATGCATCCTATGTGTTGTGCTGCTTATGCATATTCTATTCCAGAGATTAAGAGAAGATTAGTAGTTCATTTTTGTTTTTATTTCTGGTGGATAACTGATCTGCACTATCAAATTCTGTGATCGAGTATTTAGTAAATTTATATTTTTGATTTCAGATGCATCTGTCTAGTTATCACGATTAGATCAGATAGAATCTTTTAATTCCTAATCCATTTGATCATTTTCTGCATTTGTTTTTGTAAAATCTAGGGGAGATCTTTTGTCTTGGTTTTGTAATTCTTTTGAATTTCTTTTCCTGGTCCGTTATAGGTAAGCCTGATATGTCCAGCATCATTTATAGAGTTGGTGAATGTATGCAAGAACTCATTAAAATTTGGAAGGAATATGAATCATCTCAAGCTGAGAAAGTAGGTGATAGCTCTCAAACTGGCCCAACTCTGGAAATTCGAATACCAGCTGAGCATGTATCTGCTACAAATCGCCAGGTTTTGGAGCATTTAGCTTCATTTTTATTTTTACCTGAGCATTTATATGATGAACTTTCACACACACACGCACACATCTTGAAATTATTCTTTTGTATGTATATATATACAAGCTTGCCTGTTTGGTATTGATTAAGTGGAAAATGATTCGAGCAAGGATTATATAGCTGTTTACTTAAAATACGAAAGTAATGATATGTTTGGTGACATTTTTACTTTATAAAGAAAAAAAGCCTGTTTGGTTACATTTCTGTTTTGTTTATGCTTTTAATTTTGAATAGAAAATCTTTTGTTTGGGTTTACCAAGAAAATGCAAATATTGACATGTTTGGTGCACTTTTTGATTGTTAGGGGATATTGGTTAGAGTGTTGATTGGAGTGGCAATTTATGATGATCGGGTGGAATTTGGGGTCAACTGGTGAAGGTGATCTTCATGTGGAGTAGGGTGTGCTGTGTACGGGCTGAGGGCCAAGGGCTGAGTAATGTAGGGTTAATAGGTGGTGGATCTGGGATAGGTCAGGAGAGTTTGAATTGGGTTTGGCTATTAGCTGTGGGTGAGTATTGGGGTAAAATTGGGTGAATGTGAGGTAGGTCAAGAGAGATGGGAGGGTGGCTGTGGGTGTGATAGGGTAGGCTGTTTGGGGGTTAGTGTAGGCTGGCGGTTCAATGGAGGAAGTGGTGTGAACTATGGGGTCAGGGTCATAGTGGTTGGGATTACGGTGATTAGATATCATGGGGTGCAAGGGCAGTGTGAGTTGGGATTGGTGGAGTTGTGGTGGTTGGACATTGTGAGTTGTATGATGATGTATAACCTTCTGTTTCAAAAAAAAAAAAAAAGAAGATAAAAACAAAACAAAAATACAAATAGTATGTGTTTATTTTTTGCTCACAGAATTTGAATAAAAACTTTCCATATGACCTTTAAATATTTGCATTTTTTTAACATTATTTTGAAGATAAGGTAATTAACATATGTATAAATGTAAATGTGGCATTCCTTTTACTTTCCCTCTAATTTATAGCTTCAGAAAGTATAATATAACTACTCTTCTTGCTGCTGCTGCTGCTCTGTCTCTCTCTCTCTCTCTCTCTCTCTCTCTCTCTCTTCCTTTTGGATTTCTTCTCTGATTTCTGATGCTGTTGTGGAGCTGTAGACATGCTCCTCTAATTTGTATTTAGTGTACCAGCATGCTATGTGAAGGGTTGGCCTTGGGATCCAAGTTTTTTGTGAATGCAAGTTTGGTACATTGACTATTGTTTTTGGAGTTAGAGAATATTGGTTTTAGTATTCCTATCGTACATACATTATCAAAGGATCATATGTGGCTAATGTTTTTGCCTGCTGTTTTCTATTCTTATCATGTTATGCTTGCTTCTTGAGTTCTTGAACATATCATTTGCAGGTGAGGGGTGGACAACTATGGGGAACAGATATATACACTGATGACTCGGATCTCGTTGCTGGTATGCCATTTATGGTTATGTTTTATTTATTTTCTGCTTAAAGGAAAGTTCTGAAGTAAAAATATGTCCAGTTAATTTTAACTTTCTGCTTCCTTGTTTCATCAATAATAGACTTGTCCTGATGAGAATCTACAAAGTATTTTGGACTAAAGTAAATATATGTCCTTAAGGTATTTTTATGGTGAGGATTAAAATTATCAAAGGAACCTTAAATTATATAAGCAAACCTAAAACAAGATTTCGTTGCTGATATGCCATTTATGGTTATGTTTTATTTATTTTCTGCTTAAAGGAAAAGTTCTGAAGTAAAAATGCCCAGTTAATTTTAACTTCCTGCTTCCTTGTTTCTTCAATAATAGACATGTCCTGATGACAATCTACAAAGTACTTTGGACTCAAGTAAAAATATGTCCAGTTAAGGTATTTTCATGGTGAGGATTAAAATTGTCAAAGGAACCATAAATTATATAAGCAAACCTAAAACAAGATTTTGTTATTAAAACACAATCTCTAGCTACACAAACCATGCATGTGCTGTGTGGGAGTGAACGTTGTTGCTTTTCCTTTTCAAAAGTGAGGATTGTGGGCAAGGGTTATTGAAATGTTGAGGTATGATAGTGGGTTGGACTTGAAATGTGTGGCTATGAACCTCAGCCCTTCATATTATTACAATTTGGAGGAAGTGTGGTAGGAAGGTGATGGTGCATCTAAGTAGTGGTGGTGGTCTTAGAAGTGTTTTGTGTTGGGTAGTTTTCCTTTAGATGCAATCATTATTCCATGGACCATGGTCCACACAGCTATGTGGATCATAAATAAAAAGTACATTTTCAATATACTAAAAGTACATTATTTTGTATATTATCAAATAATGTACATTTAGTATACAATTAATGTACTTTTAGTATATTACAAATGTACATTGTATTCATGGTCCACAGAAAAATTTGCCCCTTAGATGCGTATGAGCTGATTAGCTGAAGCATGCCACCGTTTGTTGGTTACAGAAGTGTTACTCATCTTGGCCTTTTGGCAGGTGATTCTAGAACTCTTCCATTTCCCTCCATCAAATGCAGTTCACTGGAGAAATGGCTAAAAGTCTTTATCCATGTTCACTCTCCAAGTAACATGTGGTTAAATATTCTGTTGATAGCTTGATGCAATTTGGGAACACATAGATTCTCCATATACATTTATTTTTCTGGTTTATAAGGCACTTGAAATGTAGCACTCACTATTTGTATGAAGCATGATGTTGCTTAGGATTGTCTTTCTGAAAACAGTTAGGGGTGAGTGGTGGCGAGAGGGGGGAATGTATTGATGAATTTGTTCACCCCATTGTGCATTTTGTCTATTAGAATAGGAATGGAGTTCTTTTAGATTTCTCCTTTAATTGTCACTTTCCTGTGGATGTTATAAAGCTGACAGTTAAAATGGAAACTTATTTTGTGAAAAAATGCAGAAAACGACAAAAATTTCTTGCACTTGCGGAGTTTTTCTTTAAAATTCATTCTCATTTTGATTGATCCTAACCTTTTTTCTTAATGTGCATTTATGCCTTCCTCTTCTGCAGTTCTTATGCATACGGGCTACTGTCGACCAACTGCTTCTCCTCCTCCCCCTACAATTCTAGAGTTATGTGCTACTATCAGAGTGCTACCGCCGCAAGAATGTAAGTCCATTTGAAATTCCTTCTGAGGGAATTGATTTGTGCATTTTTCTTACAAGTGGAATCAATGTGTTCTATAGTAGGCTAAATGTTACTCAAGTGAATTCATAAACCTCAATTATTAGTTTTACTGATGTATGGTTTTCTGTGCTCTGATTGTAGTTCACTTTCCACCCTTATATACTAGGGGTTTAAAATGTCAAACATGCAAATTTAGGAATTTTAAAAGCTTGAGATGAAGTTTAGATAAGTTTTCATAGCAGTTTACTTACTAAGATCATTTTTTATAGTCTATGCTTTAATGAGACAGAGTCAGAATTGTATTTCAAGTAAAAGGAACTTTTTATTGTATCTGTAAGTAGTTATTTGTGCTGTATTTCATTTCAATGTATGAATGAAGGTCTATTGTCCTATAAATGCAATAATATACCCACATGTTTATAACTTTATATCATTTAACAAGTTATCAAATCCAACCTTAGTTGAATAGAAATGTGAGCTACAAAATACAATTATGTTTGGAGAATAACTCAACTGCCAATCTAGAAATGCACATTGCAATTTCATCCAAAATCTGATAATATGCTGTTAACCTCTACTTGATATTTTCTTTGAATATTTAGTTCATGTTTCCAGTGAAGACTATAATTAACTGGTATTTCTTTGGTGAAACTTATGACATTCCTATTTAACCTATTTTAAGTAAATACAATAGAATTCATTAAAATTTATATTTTCATATTGGATTTCCTCGCATTTCTGATGTAAAAGAATTCACTTTATGGAAATTGTTAAAGCATATGTATCAAGTTTGAGGAACAATGTCCGCTCACGTGCCTGGGGAGCTGCAATTGGTTGCAGTTATCGTGTAGAGCGATGCTGCATTGTGAAGGTGGGTAACACAAGCTCTTATATATACTTCATCTTCTTTCCCTGTTGTGTGTATGCTCTTTCAGTTGACTGTCATGTCACTGTAACTCACTTGTGCCTTATTTTTGTTGGGAATTACTTGAATTCTATGATGTTGGACTGATGGGCCAAGAATAATCTCTGTTTCATATGGCTAGTTAGTATTTGGTAATGATGATTTCATTCTAATATGCAAATTTTGGTTGAATGTTCTCCTTACTTCAGAAAGGAGGCGGGACGATTGACCTTGAACCTTGCCTTACACATTCATCGACATTGGAGCCTACTCTTGCTCCAGTTGCTGTGGAGCGTACAATGACTACACGGGCTGCAGCATCGGTATAGTTCTTTTTATGCTGAATTCTTTTAATTGATTTTCCTCAACCAAGTAGATATCTCTATTTTTCTCTTGGAGTATGCTGGGTTGTGATTGCTGTGCTTTTAGTTCCTCAGTTGCAGTTTGTATGGTACAGTAGAAGACATGGAATTCAAAAGTTTGACCAACTTATTTTGTGGAAGAAAATATCAAATATTAATGCTTTGTATATAAAGTTGAGTTTTGTAATATAAAATGTATTTGAACTAACATTTTTTTAAATGTGAAACTGAACTTTTGAAAGGTAGTGGAAACTTCAATGACTTTTTTGATGCAAGGCATGTGGTATCTTTTACAATTGGAGATAGAATTGAGTAAGATTTTTCAGACCTGTTCCATGTAGACTTAGTAACATGGGACGCCTTTTGTGTGTGATGTAGTACTCATCTGGGAATTCTGTTGAGCTATGAGGAGAATCACATGATTCCTTGGATGGTCCGGAATAGACGAATAGTGATAGACTGGGTATTCAAGTGCAACTCAGTAGGATGACCTAAGGTCATGTAGGAGAGCACCCGGACCTTGTGCACAATAGTCACTTTCTGTACATTCTCCCAGACCTTGGTAGGATCCTCTTGTGCTGATGCATTCCTGTGAGAGTATCCAAATCCCCAGAATGCACCATCTCCCCACCAAATTATGTTATATTTTGAGTCCATTTGATGAAGGTTGCATCCAATTCCCAATAGCATTTCATATTTAGTTGATCAGTTTTTATAGATGTTCTATGGAGTCTGGCTCTTTCTATGAGCAGTGGATTGTGTTAAAACTTGGTAACTGAAATGATAATAATAAAATCACTTAGGTAATCTGAAGTCTACACTTAGCAGGAAAGAATATAATTTTCCTGAACTATTTCCCTCTTTTTTATGGGTGGTTTTTGTACAGGGCATGCCTGATTTGGTATATTGTTATATTCTTGATTTACCATTAACTCTCAATTTTTTTGTTTGTTCCTTCTCTCTCTCTAGAATGCATTACGGCAACAGAAATTTGTGCGTGAAGTTACAATACAATACAATCTATGCAATGAGCCTTGGTAAGATTGTTGTTAGGTCTTACAAAACTTTAGTGTTGCTTATAGTGTTGCTGCTGAAAACTTTAGTGTTGCTTGTTAACATTCATGGGTGCTTATAGTGTTGCTGCTGAAGTTGTTCCTTCACTAATGTCTCTAATTGTTGCCTAGTGCTTTCAATGCTACCAAGTTTGCCTATCAGAAAGACAAGTTTTACATCTAGTGACTTTCCTAATTTCCTTGACCTTTGGAGGGGTTATTTTGTTTCTGCAGCTGGGATTTGTGGGTTGGTTTGTTACTAAACATGGACCAAGGAAATTGGAATTTCAGTAACGGGGAAAAACTCCATCATGGTGTTTGGAAAAACTGATATATGATGTCCCACCCCAGTTATATGTGATATCCTCTTAATATGTTAACATAGTCAAATATAATCCTTTTTGAACCTTTTGGTGCTTTAAGAATTGAAAAAAGGTTACAAATTTGGTGTTATTTTTAGCAGTTCAAGCCTGAGAATTTGTCGGAAATCAAGTTAAGTCTAAAATGAACTTTTTTCCTTGAATTTTGACATTTTCGTATTTTATCAGCTATTATATCTAAGTTATTTAGATAAGTTGCTTAATAAAAGTAAAAGACTATCTAGTAATTTTGTCCACACCTTGGGTGAGAGCATGTAAGATCTACTTGATGTAATTTAGTGTTTATATTATATTCCAGTTCCATTTGTTCATCTTCAGTTCTTGTGCTTTTCTCCAGGCTTAAGTACAGTATAAGTGTTGTTGCTGACAAAGGCTTGAAGAAACCCCTTTTCACATCCTCACGCCTGAAAAAGGGAGAAGTCTTATATTTGGAAACCCATACTCGCAGGTAAAAGAATTTGTAGCTGAATAGAGTACGAATATTTTGATAATTGAGTACAAAAGGATCTGATTTCTTGGAGCTAATTTACACTATGTATGGAAAGATAATCACAGCTATGATATCCCTAAAAATGTATACATCAGTCCCATAATTATAAGAAATTATCTTCTAAACCCCCAAACCACCCCCCCCCCCCCTCTTTTCCCAAAAAACAAAAAAAAAAAAACTATACGGTAAATACTTATTAAACCAACTTTAGAACTTAGTGCAATAAAGTTAGAATGGAAAAGAGCCTTAGTGAGGATGTCAGCTTACCTTGAACTGAGAAGGGACATGCTTGAGTGATATAATGTTACCTTCGATTCTCACTGGTAGATGCCTATCAATCTCAAAATCTTTTGTCATGTCATGGATAGGGTTCTTGGCAATAGCTATAGCCGACTGATAATTACACATAATCTCAATAGGACCCAAAACACTAATCCTGAGTTCATCTAGCAACCATTTTAACCAGATTCCTTCACAAATACCCTGAGCTAAAGCTTGAAATTCTGCCCCAGCAGTCAGCACTACTACATGCAAACACTTGCTGCTTCTTACGATGCCATGTTAACAAATTTCCCCATACATAAGAATAATAGCCTGAGGTTGATCTTCTACCAAATGGAGACCCAGCCTAGTCTGCGTCTGTGTAGACTTCCAAAGAGGGATTTAGGGTTTTTTTGTTTTCTGAACATTAACCCTTTTCCAGGTTCTGCTTTTTAAGATGTCTGATGATTAGGTACACTCCCTCCATGTGCCCTTCAGATGGATTGTTTAGAAACTGACTAACAAGATTTACTGCAAAGCTTATAACTGAATGTGTGTGCGTCAAATAGATTAATTTCCCTATCAAACATTAATATCATCCTAGTTTGTGTTAGGTTCCATAGGAGTTTCCTCTGGCCTACACCCTCATTCCAGTTTCTCTTAAGAGGTCTAGAACATATTTTCGTTGAGAAAATGAAATTCCCTTGATCTTGCTACTTCCATACCCAGAAAGTATCTCAGGTGTTCTGATTCGGCCATGGAAGACGAGATTTCGAAGGACAGATAATATCATGTATCTGAATAGAGTAAGAATTTTCTGATAATTATTTCATTATGAAAAGCTAGGTACATATATATGCAAAAGGATTTGATTTCTAGGAGCTAATTAACACTATGTAAGTAAAGATAATAATAGGCTGTGATATTCCTAAAAATATATACATCAATCCCACAATTATAGGAAACTAAATATCTCTTATGCCTAATTATTTGTTCAAAAGTTTCATGTATGGTGTGTGTATTCCAGACCCGGGTACTAATGCAGTTGTTAGGCTATTGATGAATTTAATGGGTCTGGTAACAAACTTAAGGATAAACTTAAACGGAGTGTCTTTGTATCAACACTTTTGGTATGATTTTCCAAACTTAAACGGAGTGTCTTTGTACCAACACTTTTGGTATGATTTTCCATGGATAATCAATATTTGCATCCATCCAAATGAGAAATTGGTAAAGTACAAGTTGCAAGAGTTTTTATTTCCTTCTCAATGTTTAGATAATTGCTTGTATAATATTGTACTCTTCAGTAATATTGTATTATAAGCTATTATATGAACTCCATGAATAGAATCTGTCTATTGTTCTCTTATCTGCTGGGTTACTTATTCCTATAAAGGTATGAGCTCTCCTTCAATGGAGAAAAGATGGTCAAGGCTACAGCAGTGCCCCATGCACATGAAGTGGAGAATGAGAAGCATCATGCGCATCACTCCCATTCTGTAAACGGTGAAAAAAATGTGGATGGTGAAAATGTTGTCGTAGATGTGTTCCGTTGGTCACGCTGCAAGAAGCCTCTGCCCCAGAAAATGATGAAATCATATGGAATCCCGTTGCCCCTTGAACATGTCGAGGTAGTTGCTCATTTGATTACTTTTACTAGCTTGGTGTCTCGGCAATCGGGCATATAACGTGTGGAATTTGCAAGATTGCAAAGACATGCTTTTACTTTAACCAAATGTCCAAATGTCAAACAGCCTTTTGGGTTCTACAAAGAAGCAATACTACGATAGTGTCTTTTGGTCAGGCCATGAGGTGTTCTGAGCAGGTCCTAACTGTAGGAGGCACCTTTAAGCCCAATACTACAATAGTGTATTTTTAAAGTCTTGTCCATCAACAGCCACATCTTCCCATTTTTCATTAGTTGGCATTTGCTAGTTTTGGAATTCCTCGTGTGTTCTATTAGTTTTGTATTGCATCTTGGTTCGTTAAAATAAAAAAAGGGGGGAAAGGTTGTAGCGTGCCAAACACAATGAGGCACCCTACAAGTCCGATAATGCTTAAAGTTTGCAGTGTGTCATAAGTCATGGTATTATTGGGTTTGTTATTAGGTAATGTTTAACTCGTATTGATGGCGCTTTCTGAATAATTGGGCAGGTTTTGGAGGAGAATCTGGAGTGGGAGGACGTTCAGTGGTCACAAACTGGTGTTTGGATTGCAGGGAAAGAATATGTTCTTGCTAGGGCTCATTTTCTGTCTCCAAATTAGTTAAGCTCTCAAGTGCAGAGCAGAGCAGAGCAGAGAGGTTTTTGAATGAACTAGTTTACTGTCCAAGCCCCAATGTGAAATAAAAAGCATCCATCTTGTGTTGAAAGAATGCTATTTCAGAATCTGTCTTAGTTTTTCAAGACATTTCATGTACAATCAATCTGCTTTGGATTTATGGACATTTCTTCGGATACTAATTTATGTAGAGTTAATATTACTTTTAGTTCGTAAAATATAGTGCCATTTTCACCAGTCTTTTTCATTCGAATGTAGTCTTCTCCAACTTTTTAAAGAGATATAATTGAGTTTAAAATATAAGAGTCAATTTCAATTTTGGTCCTGTGACTATTGGAGTCTTGTTAATTGCAATTTACGACTTTTAAAATTGTTAATTTAATACCTTTATTATTTAACTTTTATTAATTTTGGCCACTGCGATCGGTCAAATCTCACAGGAAAAAAATTTAATTAACCAATTAATGTTTAATGTAAGGGAGGAAAAATTTAATTAACCAATTAATGTTTAATGTAAGGGGTAAATTTGTCTTTGTAAGTTTGGTCCAAATAGGGAAAGTGATACTTGACCCTTTTTTTTGCGAGGTACTTGACCAAAGTCAATTGCCTCCTCTAATTTGTCAAATCGATTGTAAATTGAAACTTAATTTATGAAGAACAACGAAAGGAGAGAAGAGGCGAAACCGCGAAGGAAGAGAAAATCGAAAGAAGAAGGGACCACTGAAGTTAACCACTCTCCATCAACTCTCGCTGAAGTAGCCATCGGAATTACTATTTCGTCTTCTGCTAGTGGAATGGGTAGTGCACCCAATGCCCTCCAAGCAATTAACAATTACTTTTTTTTTTTTTTTTTTTTGGTTAAAAATTCTCTGAAATTGGCGTCTTTCATAGTCATATTGCATTGTTTCCTTGTTGAGAGTATTTATTGTGTGTGTACAAAATGGAGTAAAATAGCAGTGTTCAGAATGTGTTTGGCGTGTGCTTTATATATGTTGAGAAGATAACATGTGGGGACCAATGTTTTTATACTTGTGTTAGACTAAAGATATATACTGAGAAGATTACATGTGAGGACCAATATTTTTATACTTGTGTTGATATGTTAGAGTAAAGTAGTATATTATTCTTGTGGGGACCAATTTGTTGAAAATTGTGTTGTGTTCTATGTATATGGTTAAATATAGGGTTATGTGGGACCACTATGTTTATCTTTTTGTTGATATGTCATGTGTATATATTGGAGTTAGGAATACTGACATGTGCTTTTACATTGTTCTTTTACTATTTGAGTGTTTTACAGGAGATGAAATTAAGTACTGCACACAATGAATGTCAAATGTTGGAGATATGGGTTGAAACAATGGATGCAAATGATTTTATTGATGCAGAAGTTGAGGTAGTTGAATCTGATGGTGAATGAGAAAGTGAGTTTGAGGTTGAGGTTGAGTGTTTGAAATAAGGATGAGAAGGGTGGTGTTGGGGATAAGGATGACTTAGTGGGAAACAGAAACACAAACAAACAACAAGGAGAAAGGAAAACATATTATTTGGATGAGATAAACTTCTCTGATGATGCATCATTAGTGGATTCTAATAGTGATGGTCAAAGTAAATGGCCTATTTTTAGATCTGCAACTGACATGAAAGATCCCCATTTTACATTAGGCATGACTTTTGCATCCTAGCAACAATTTAGAGAAGTAGTGCAAAACTATGGTTTCAAAAAATGAGAAAGATATTCGAACTCTTAGAAATGACAAGAAGATGGTTATAGTTGAGTGTTCACAGTATGATTATTCTTTGGAGAATAGGGTTGAGGAAAGTGGTGAGCTCACTGTCTTGGAGTATTCTAAACATGGTTGATGTGCATGAAGGTTGTTCTTGGGTTTGGGAGACTTCGATGGTAAAAGCTAGTGTGGTTGCAAAGAGGCGGTCCAAGGAATTAAAAGACCATCCAAATTAGATGATGAAAAAATTCAAGGACACGGTGTGCAGTAAAGAGGGGTTCTATCTAAGTGATCAACAAGTCTATAGGGTTATTTGGAAGGCTAAGAAACAAAGGCTAGGTGATGATGAAGACAACTTCAAGAAGATTTGGAGCTATTATGCTAAAATTTCAAGGACAACCCCTAAGAATACTTGTGTTGTGAAGCTTAGTGATTTGAATGATGAAAGTGGGCAGCATATATTTTTAAGAATGTACATATGTTGGGATGGTAGCAAACAAGGGTTCAAACATTGTAGACACCTCATAGGTAGTGTGGATGGATGTCACTTGAGATGTGCAACAAGTGGGATGCTACTTACTATTGTTTGTGTTGATGCTAATGACAATATTTTCCCACTTGCATATGCTATTGTTGAGGGAGAAAAAAGGAATCTTGGTGTTGGTTTCTACAACTACTGAAAGAGGATCTAGAGATAACAGAACACGTTGAGCATAAATTCTGTTTTATAAGTGATAAACAGAAAGGGGTTAATCCCAACATTTGTGTATGTGCTACCTGGTGTGGAGCACATGCTTTGTGTGAGGCACCTGTATGGAAATATGAAAGTAGCAGGGTTTCAAGGTAAGGCACCGAAGGATGCTCTTTGGGCTTGTGCAGGGCAACAACTGTGAATTCATTCACTAATGCTTTAAGCAAAATTAAGGCATTAGATGAACAAGCATATCAATGGTTAGGTGATAAGTCTCCAACATAATGGTCTAGATTCCACTTCTCAACACACAGCCACTGTGACATGTTGGTAAACAATATTGTGACTCATTTAATTCAACTTTACTCGGGACTAAGGACAAGACAATTATAGACTGCCTTGAAACTATAAGGAAAATGTTAATGGACAAATTTTTTGAACAAAGACAAAAAGCAGCTAGTTGGAAGACACTGATATGTCCTACAATTGTTGAAAAATTGAAGCAAATTGAGAAGGAGGCATATGGTTATTTGGCAACACAGTGTGACTTTTTTAAGTTTGAGGTATGACAATTGTATGGGGACCAACAAGAGGTAAACTTGAAAAGGAAAACATGTTCTTGTCGGAAGTGGGATCTCTCTGGGCTTCCATGCAAGCATGTAGTATGTGCTATTTAGAAGAAATATGGGAAGGAAGCACTGTACGACTTTGTCCATCAATGTTACTCAAAGGAAACTTATTTGAACATATATAATGGCTCTTTTAAACCCATGGCATGTCATGATGCGTGGCCCTGACTAACAAAATTCCCCCCATTGCCACCTATCTATTCTGCCAAGGTTGGGAGGCCTAAGAAGCTAAGACAGAAATCTGCTAAGAGGTTGAGCCAAAGTTGAGTCAAGATGAAATTTCTGTGTCAAGAAAGCATATCCAATTGCATTGTTCCCTTTGTAGGCAAGCTGGAAATAATTCAAGGAAGTGTCCATCTAATCTAAATCAAAAGGTGATGTTCATTATGTCATACAAATATATTTTTTTTTTTTCAAAAACAACATAGTTTGTAACTTACACTATTCTATTGTTTAAAATGAAGCCAAAGAAAAGCGTCATTTATGCCACCAAACAAATCTCCATCCACATCACTTCAAAGGTGACTAGACAGCAGCAACATGAGGAAGACCAAGATGGGGTTGGGTAGCAGCATGAAGACCGAGATGGTGTCGGGCAGCAGGAAGGGTAAGATGTCAATGTCTCGTAGCAGGTTACCGTAAAAGACCTCATTCTCCCTACAGTGAGCACAAAGAAAAGGCAATCCAACCGTAAGAAGCCATACTATACTAGGAGCAAGACAACGATGAAGTCCAAATTCTTTCGAAACAATGATGACCCTATCAACCTTGACTAAATGAAGCTTAGACTTTGAATGTTTTTTAAACAACTTAATGACTAGAAACTGTAGTGGTTATGTTGTAATGGAGTATGTAGTCTTGATCACTGAATAGAAACTTTAACTCATGATTTTGGAATTGTAAAGGAATATGTACTCTTGGTTATTGACATGAAACCTTGACTCATATTTTTGGAATTGTAAAGCAATATGTACTCGGTTATTGACATAAAACTTTGACTCAATTTTTGAATTGTAAAGGAATGTGTACTCTTGACAATTTAAGTCAGTCTTTTACTTAATGAATTAATTGTGTGCATTATATTGAATGAAAAAATCAGTTTATTACAGTTTTTTGGCTAATAAATTTTGTGCATACCAAAAGGATCAGTTTATTACATCACCAAAAGGATCATTTCATACATAACACAATGAAATGATAAGTACATTACACAGTGGCACAATATTTACTGCTAACAAAAACTACAAATATTACAATCAATATTCCTACAATCTTGTTCAACCACTTCAACAGTTTGCCATCCTAGTTCTTATCACATTTAAGCTTCATATTTAGTGTTCTTATCTCTTCATCTTGTCTATTTATGCGTTTTAACAATCTCATAATTATTCGCTTCGAACGATAGCACATTGAAGGATCATACCAATCTACAAATGCACACCCCACCTGACTCTGTACTACAGATTTCAAAAAACAAACAACAAAAATTAATCTAAAAAATTAAACTGGACGTACATATATACAAATTTAATAACAAAAAGAAAACTATTTACAATACCACCGGAGCATTGTCAAAATCTGTGACCCAGATTCTCATTTGTCCATGAAGTTTGAATCTTTAATTGGTGACCACATCTACAATGGATAATTGAGAATTTTTCTCCAAATTCACAGTACTCATTACCATAATTCGAAGAAGAAGAATAGAAATTACTCATACCCAGGTACATTGGACTAGATGGAGAATGGCGCTGCAAGCTTCCTCTTCCTTCTTCTCTCCTTTTATTTCTTGGCTTCGTTCTCCTCTTTGTCGCGCAAATTTAGGGCTAAGAACAAGTGGAATTGCGCAAAAAAAAAAAAAAAAAAAAAAAAAGAGTCAAATATCACTTTCCCTATTCGGACCAAACTTACAAAGACGAATTTTTCTCTTACATTAAACTTTAATTGGTTAATTAAAAATTTTCGGTGATATTTGACCAAAAATTTGATCAAAGTGACTAAAAGTGAGAAAAATTAAATATTTAAGGTACTAAATTAACAATTTTAAAAACCGTAGATTGCAATTAACAAGACCCCAATAGTCATATGACCAAAAATAAAATTTACTCTATCTAAAATGTCACCAGGGATAAGCATAAGTTGGGAGATGACTACCGGAGTCATTTCTATAA